AATTAGTGGTGTACTTCCTAAAATCGATAGCGCAATTAGAAATGTAGATTCAATCTCCAAATTTAAGTATTCTCTACGAAAGATATCACATCAATCTAAAGCCCCAAAATACTATTATGTTGGAGAACGTAAGGTAAACATTATATTAACAAGGCTTAGACATGCATGTTCAACTCTAAATTCTGACCTTTTTAGATTCAATATAATTAACTATCAAAGCTGTCGGTGCGGCAGTCTGACTGAAGACAGATTTCATTTTTTTTTAATGTCCGTTTTATGCACAAATCAGAATTCACCTTTTAGATAAACTACTTTTTGTCCCGTCTTTAGATCTTGGTACTTTACTAAATGGAAACAAAAATTTAACTCTCAGTCAAAATACATCTTTAATTAAAAAAGTCTTGCATTTTATTCGAAAAAGTGAAAGTTTTGATCTTTAGAAAGATTTTTTTTTAACTGATATAGTTAAGTATGTCGATGAATAAGCTTTTTGACGTACGACTGTTGTTTATCTTTTTGGGAAATCGTGAACTTTCTTCTTTTTTTATAACTATTGTACAAATCTATAATTATCTAATGTTGTTGTTGCATGTCTTTATATTTATATATTATAACTTATTATATTTAGGATTTGACTATCTAATTTATGATAACTTGTGTCTGATCCTTTTTGTTATATGTAATAACAAATAAAATTTGTTTAAAATGTAGCATTACAATATAACACACTAAAACTTATATTTGTGGTAAAACAAAAGAAAAGCAACAAACAATATTATCATAAGTAAGATAGAAATTGCTTGAACAATTTCTCAGCAAGTTTAATCATTGATAACGGAATGGTAACCACATTAATTATAGCTACACCTAGATTTATTGTAAGGCAATTTCATTGAATTGGAAAATCTCGGCGTTTGACAAGATACTATGATAGTGTTTGAAACAGAGCAGATACATCATAACTGTCAACGGGAATATCTTGATACAGATGAAAGAAGCTTATGCAAGACGTCCAAAGATTTTGTACAGTTAGGATTACTATTTAAATAAGCTTAATCATATTAATGACGTCAAGATAAGCATCATTATTTAAACTGTCGGTAAACTTAATGTAAAAAGGGACAATATTCCAAGTGAACAATCAAATTATCAAAATCATAAGTCGAAGAAAACAGACAACTTCACGGCAAAAAAAAACAACAACCCAAACATGTTACAGAAACCTTAAGACTGAGCATCGCACTCCCCACTAAAAATAAATCAAGGGAACTCATGTGCATCCAAATGGTAAGCAGTTCTTGCTCTACATGAGACATCGTTAGTAAGTATCTGACGTATAATGCATTTTAAAGGGTGATAGAACAATATACAAATTGAATTATCTCCAGTTTACCAGAAAAAATTCTGAAGTCAAATATAGAACGGCAATTAATAAACATGCTCGATTTGTATTGTTTGGTCATATTTGATTACATTCTTGTGCCTTTGTCTTTGGCTGATAGTTGTCTCATTTGCAAGCAAACCACATCTCCTTATTTATATGTTATCCATTCGTTTGATGTGTTTGAGCTTTTGATTTTGCCATTTGATTAAGGACTTTCCGATTGAATTCTCCTCGGAATTCGGTATTTTTGTTATTTTACCTTCTACTTCGGTATAAGTTGTTGATATGAACGTACTAGACTTTGCTATCTCAACTTAACGTATTTCAGTATAGTATTTACAACAACAAAAAACTAATTTACGTTGAACAGGTACAGGATATCATATTTGAACTCATATTTTCTAAGTCAAAATGCATTTTGTCTAAATTGATGAAATTTCTTATTTCTAGTACAAACACTTAAACTTTGCTTCTACATTTAATTTTATCCATTAAATGTGAAATACATTGGCAGAATTATGTGCAATAACAAATTTACTAGGGACAATAGTCACCAATATTCATTGTTATTTAGAAGGCTGTACTTTGACATATAATGGTTTACTTTTACAAAGTGTCACTTGGATGGAAAGTTGTCTCATTGGCACTTATATCACATCTTTTTATATCTATCTAATAATCTCGATTTGTTTCGTAGACCTAATTATTCTTGACAAACCATCCTTAAATTTCTTTCTGATAATTTTCTGCTGTGTTTTACTGTTTTAATCAACAGATATAATTATATTATTCAGATTCCAATACTTTTTTAAAAGTGCAATTTGACCCTGCTTTCGATCAGTAAATATTTAACTCTATCTGTAAAATGGCAAAAAGGTTTGTTGATAAGTTGAGATAATACATGATGAGGTTTATAGCTCCATGAAACTGCTATTCCACTTTTGGAATGGGATATCCCGTCCTTAGAAATAAGAAGATGTGGTAGGAGTGCCAATGAGACAACTCTCCGTCCAAGTCAAAATTTATAAAAGTAAACCATTATAGGTCAAAATACGGTTTTCAACACGGAGCCTTGGCTCACACCGTACAGCAAGATATAAAGGGCCCCAAAAATTACTAGTTTAAAAGCATTCAAACGGGAAAACCAACGGTATAATCTAAATAAAAAACGAGAAACGAGAAACACGTATGAACCACATCAACAAACAACAACTACTGAACATTAGATTCCTGACTTAGGACAGGCGCAAATAATTGTAGCGGGTTTAAACGTTTTAATGGTACCAAACCATCACCCTTTTTCTGAAACAATAGTGTAACATCACAGTATAGAAAGACACACTATAAAATATCAACTGAAATGGCTTAACTCAATGAAAGGACATATTAACACCAGTGAATATACACTGAACAAATACATTTGATCTATGAAACAATGTAAATACGTACACAAAATAAATAAACTAAGGCAAGAATAATAAAAGTAACATGGTATACCGCTGTGAAATGTTAAACCAATTAAGAAAAACAATATGCTCGAACAAAAATATCAGCCATCTGCAATTACTTTAAACATAGGTAAATGAAACTAATTTTGTTGTTAGATATACGTGTACAGTTCAAATAGAGAAAGGAAATATTTTTACAAAATAAATAATTTTGATGTTCAAAGTACGAAGTAAAAATTTATAGTAATACTAAACACTTATCAAAGCTGGTATATAGACCAGATATAACCCGAATAACATTAAATAACAAAACAAGCATTACAATTAGTATCAAATAAACAAGAAAGTACGATTTGAGAATACTCACAGTTACAGACAGCTAGTTAAAAGCCAAAACCAATTAATAATAAAAAATCATGCATCAGAAACTAAAATCAACTAAAACACATTCCAGGGATTTAGTATTTTAACGTCATGGACAGTCAAAAAAGACATGACTTGTGCAATGCCAAAAATAGATGTATTGACAGGCAGTGAGATAGTTAGGAGTTTAATCTCATAAAAGATCAAAATAAACGTGGGTGTGTCTTTATACATCCCGTTTGAAAAGAATACAAATTTAGTTATGTTTTAATTTGCTGATGACAAAATCGATATTAGTGCCAATGTAAACTATATTCAAAGATCTAATTACAACATTGGTAAGATAACCTTTACTAATAAGTTTGTTTAAAGATTCGATGAGTTTACACGGATCACATAGTGATTTCCGCGCTTAAAGTACAATATTACCGTAAAATTTAGGATGTGAAATACCGTTTTTAATCAGTTTTCTACAGGTACAGCCAAATTTACTAATCAAATCTTTGTATCTATGAAATAATTTAGTTAAAGTTTTACGTAATTTATGGTACCGAAATCCCTGACTTAATAATTTACCAGTGATGCATTGATTACGTTCGTTAACATCTATGACATAACTTCACACACGTGTCTAACGAACGAGTTGGAATATATAAACACCGTATGATGGAGCCAAAGGAACATCGCCGTCTAAAAAAGGAAAATTAACAATAGGGAATGAAAAGTCGTCTCTTTTGTCGTAAATTTTCGTATGGAGTTTTCCTTTAGATATTGAAATATCCAAATCTAGAAAAGGACAACTACTGCTGTTTATGCTAGATTAAGTTAAAGTAAGTTCTATTGGGTAAATTTCGGTAGTATATTTATAGAACTCTGGATTATTTAACGAAAAAATATCATCTAGATAACGGAAGGTATTGTTGAATGTATCAACCAAATATAACAATGACGTGTCTTTACTGAGTTTGGTCATAAACTGAGATTCATAGCAATACAGGAATATCTGCTATTTAAGGGGCGCAGTTAGTGCCCATAGGAATACCTACTACTTGTCGATACACTTTATCGCCAAAACGTCCATATATGTTGTCCAGGAGAAAATTTAAAGCTTCAATCATATCTTCACATTTCCAGTAAGTGTATCTAGTATACTTTCCTTTTTCGTTACAGAAAAAGGCTTTAAACGAGTTACAGCAAATAAATTTGTGATGAGATTTTTCAAAAGACCATTTAATTAAATATGAAAACTTTTTCTTGATAAGATTGTGTGGAAGTGTAGTATAGAGAGTAGAAAAATCACAACTGTCAACAGAATTAAAAGGACCATCAAAAGCATGTATTTTATCTAAAACCTCTAAAGAATTTTTAACACTCCAAAAATAATTGATACCATTATTTTCATAAGCTTTATTACAAAAGTTAATAACAAGTTCTTTGATAGTAGTAAGGGAGGTAGTTTGAAGCACTACCATAGATACTTTCTTTGTTGTTATGTTTATTCTGTTGCAAAGGCAGAACATTTTGATAAAATGTGGGTCATAAACAAATTAAGTAAATTGAAGGCGATGCTTTCACTTCTAGAGAACCGGGTCTCACTTTGGGTGTGTGGGGTAGTTCGTGATTGTGTATGTTCTGTCGTGTTGTAGTTTTGAATTTTCTATTATTATTTACATTTCTGTTCTACACATTTCGTTGTGTATACTCCTTGCTCTATTTTGAATGTTGTTTCTCATATTGATATTTTACATTTAACCTTAGACTAGTATACTTAATAAGAGACAAACAGCAAAAGAAGACTAAATTGTTTTTCACTTTTATTCATTATAATTTATATTTCACAAGGAACAAACAATTTTAAAATCAAAGTATATAACTATATAAATATAAAAAACATATAAATTTTTCACATAAACACCTATTGTGTTGAATTTGGTAAAATCGTTGAAACTGAAGAAGTCCATTTGTTCAGTAAAAATGTTTGTCTTTAGAATTACGTTACATCCTGTTCGTATATTACTATATTGTATTATATACTTAGCAGTATATACAAGTAATTTGTATGCGTATTACAATCAATGACAATTGTGCTGTATCAGCCATCCGTGATGATTTCGATATCAGTAACGGTTGCAAAGGCTTTATAACCCTTAATATGGATGACGTCATTTCGTGTCATTGATATCTATATATATATATTTATGTAGATTGTTTTCGTTGAAATACATTGAAGCAGAAACTTAATTTAGTAATATGTTTCCTAATCGAAGGTTTAAATCAACAACTTGTTATTGGAGTATGTCAAATTGACAAACGGCCGTATGACCAAAACATCTATGATACGTAAAAATCCGTTCCCACGTTTGGTTAGGATATTCAAATATGATTCAGGGATCAACTATTAAACTGTTAAATCAAGAAAAAAATTCATAATATTAAATGTAAAAAACATCGATTGCAAAAAAAGCATCGGGGATATGTAGATTTAACTTTGGTCCTGCATACGTCTGGATTTGGGTTAATAAGTTTTACGCGTATGTCAATTTTTCATATTTCTGTGGTAAGTAAACAATTAAAGTTCACCACTTCAGCTTTATTATACGAAGTGAAACGAGTAGAAGTTTAATCTTAATTTTGAAATCTATGATTTTAAGTTGAATCAAGGAACTTAACGAACAAAACGAACTACAAAATTCGAGTTAATAATTGAAAATACATCTTGTTCGGTCTACTTTATAGAATCCCCATAATTCGTTTGCAGACGGTTAAATGAAATAAAGCAAATCCGTAACACACGTATTATACGTTTTATATACACATTTGATATTACACGCGAATTCTTCTAATGCAAAAACACGGCTTAATGAACATGCGTTTCAATAAAATTGCTGCATTATCGCGAAACTCAATGTCCATAAAAGCGTAAATTATAGGGTTAACTATATTATTGATAATAAAGATATGGTATATGAACGTCACACCAGGTCTTTGCGAGGTGGACAGGTTTTCCCAAAAATCTTCGTCGATTCCTTCAAGACCCATAATTGCCACCTTTGGTATAAAACAAAGTACAAATACTGTAGTTGTAATAAAAAACATAACTGTTAGTTTATTGGTTATTCGACGATTGATTATTCTCCGTTTTCTAGATGCAGTTGATTCCATATTATTTGCTACAGGTCGACTTTTAATGGCCTGCTGTCCGACAAAATCTGGTTTAGTTTCTGGTATCATTGATTGATTTGATGAGGTCATCATCTCCATATCTTTACATTCAATATGAGGAAGATTTTTGTCATCATCAGTTTTTTCAATTTCTTTCTTAGCTCCACTTGCGTCGTTCTTTTGTACTTTTAAGCTGCTAAACACCGTCTTTAAAATTCTGCCGTAAATGATGATAAGTAATGTAACTACGGCAAACGCGAGGATACTAGATACAATCGAATACATAATCTTGATAGAGGCATGTTCTTCTTTCAATCTTCCACATCTCATTCCCGAGATACCATAGTTAGTGCTATGGTATGGAATCGTCCCATATACAAATGATAACGGTAAGGCGAAAAGCAATGATATGATAATCGCGATAAACAATGCAGTTCTTTTCACAGAAATCGACATTGGTAGTTTCAGAGGCATACATACTTTCCTGTATCTCTGAACTGCAATAATAAATAATATGGAAACCGAGTTATAAGTAGTATTTGCAACAAAAAAGACGAGTGTCCTACATAGAATGTTGTTTGAAAATGTCGTCTGATTGAAACACTGAAATATATAATGCACTCCAAGATATATTATTGCTATCATATCAAAGAATGCTAATATTGGTATGAAATATCTTTCGTCGGATGGCTCTTTCATCTGAAACGCATATACCAACAACACAAAGACGTTTCCACATGTACCAAACGCAAGGTAAACTGAAAGTATGATAATGTTCGGCATAAGACTGTTTGTTATTTCCTCGTTCCATTCTGATAAAGTTATATTATTGAGAATAGTGTTATTATTCATATTTATTCCTTTTACCTGAATTGAAGAACACTTGGAATCTTGATTCAATACGTGAAATGTATTTACTATTTCCTCGTTTCTATGTAAACAAAAGTTGAAGTTTGTTTTTTCGTAATACAATATCCAGGAAGCGTTTTTCCTTTCTTAAACAAATGCATTATCAAAATATCTGTATCCGGTATTATCATTTTGAATAAAAGGCGAACCGTTATGATTAAAAATAAACTGTTAAATAGTATTTTGAAGCAGATAATGAAGCGCCTGTTATATACGAAAACTACCTTTGAGTTTTAAAACCACTCACACATATTGTAATCAATTCTTTTGACATGAATATCATGGTAATGAATAATAAAGTTGAATTTAATCGAGTCCTTTGTATTTAATAGAACGAACAAGTACACAAACAACAATGCAAAAAGGGACAATACCTTTACCTAAGAATAAAACGAGTTATGAAGTATACTTAATTGAGACAGCAACTCAGCGACACTAAATACTAAAAGACTTCTAGAGATATGAAAACGTTCAGAACACATAAGAATGTATTGATCTTTATTCAACAACTTTTGACAAAAACTCTTTGGGTCGAAATATTGGGTCATTATTTTCTGTCTCAAAGTATTTACCGTTTGCTGTTTTTAGCTTTGATACTTTATTGATGAAATTTAGTTGCGCCTTTTCCCATTTCTTATATCACCAACGTTAAAGTGCGTAACAGTCATAATATAAACAGTACAGGAAGATACGACCTTGTGCAATAGCCAAACAAACCAGTATATAATTTCAAAGCAGAAATAGATATTACCCTCCTCCCCCCCCCCCAAAAAAAAATAACACGAATAAGCAAGAGAGTAGACACAATGTTTGAACAACAGCAGCTTAATCCCTTAGGATATAAAGTCAAACAAAGAAAGATTGAAAGGTCAATTCTTGAACTTTAATAATAAAACCTAGAAAGATTTCGTAATCTACACGAAATCATATTCATAATAAAAAGTATAAGAAAAAGAGATATATGATTTCCAAAGAGACAAATGTTCACCATAGACTAGAAGACAAAGATGTGTACAACTAAAGGTTACCTTACACCTCAACAATGAGCACACTCGTTTTGTGGTAGTGTTTCAACAAACCATAACTGTCAACCTGGAGACAATGACTTTAAAGGAGAGCCGCTCACCGAAGACCAACAAAGTTTTTACATCTTAGAAACATTTAAAATCCGTGTAAAAACAAACCTTCTCATATAAATGACGCCCGCATTAGCAACATATTTGATATTTTCGGTAAACATAGGGGAAAAAAGAGGGAGACAATTCGATGTTAATATCAAAATCATAAGTCGAAAAAAAAACCAGACAACATCAGAAGCAAACGACAAAAACAAACTTAGGACCGAGTAACACGCTCCCCACCAAGTTTAAGGGACATCATGTGCTCCTAAAGGGTAAGCAGGTATTACTCTACAAGTCACACAATCATCGGACGTATGTTATATTTTTAATTGGCGATGGAATGTTATGCAAATTGAATTATTACCAGTTTGCCAGAATAAAACATCTGAAAAAGAAAATAGAATGGCAATTAATATATATAAAGTTGGATACATGGTTGTTGATTGTCGAAAGTCGTACGGGGACCTGATTAGTTTACATTCTTAACTTGTGCTTTGAACGTTGGCAAATAGCTGTATCATTGACAAGAATACCACATCTCTATATTGATATTGCAATCGTGAATTAGAAAATGCATTATACATATGACTTGGAGGTAAGGCACTTAAGTAAAGTATAACTAATGTCACCTGTCGGGACAATGTTGATATTTGGAAAACGAGTTACATAACGTTGTAAGAGCACAAATCAGAGGTACAGAAATATGTGTAGTGACATCTTACTGGATGCAGAAGTTAAACGAAATTTATTAGTTTTCTAGTCAATTAGTAATAGTAAGCCAAAACTTAGAATGAACTTTGTGGTAGCATTTAAGTCTTGTTGAAACATATGTTCACCTACGATCTTTGCTTTCGGTCGAAATTGTTTGTATAAACTTACCTGCATTTTTATCTCAATTTTGAGTATGTCAGTAAAGTATTTATGCCAAAAAAACTTATATGAGTTATGTCAAGCGATTGTTCAGTAATTGCGCAAGTGATGGTACAATCAATTAAATTTTCCTACATCATATATGATGATTTGATTAAAACACAACAATGAATATTGAAATTTCAAAAATGGAAGATTCTATATCAGATGAGGGTAAAATTGTCAAAACATTGAGTGCAGTTTTTATCGCTTTTGTCAGACACCTTTGATCAGTTTACTAGGAGCTCAACCATTGTAAGGAAAACGTTTAGATGCATGTGTCATTATATATATATTTACATTTCGAAAGCTAGCGTTAAAAGATCCTAAAGTAGAAACTTAACATAGTAGGTTGCACTTTGTAAATACAGCTGTTTCACAAACCAAGCCTCTTTTGGGGAGATATAATATATTCATAGGTATTTTGTTTTGTTTACATACTGGTTCCCAGATATGATCTTTATGTTTCAATTCATAGAAACATGACTTGGAAATGTTCCCAGTATAAAAACACATAGATAGCGGCTAAATTGAATTCTGAAGAAGACCCAAACCGGAGGGAGAGGTAGTACAGAATTTTAGTATAAGTTTAAACTCTTGGAAGTTCGGGGCATATAAATGCTGAAAATATGCCGCACAGCCCTATGTTTTGAGCTTTGAAAAAAATAATAGTGCATATGAACTTTCCATTCTAGGATATAATTTTTTACGAAACTTCATCATGTTCATAGTTTTATTCGTAAAAGGAGTTCCTATGGGAATTGCATTGTCTATATTTACAGAAGTGCAACCTAGTAATATGTTTGCAAATAATAGTGTTACATTCAGCAACTTGCTATTGGAGTAAGTTAAACTGATAAACGCCCACATGACCAAAAACATAAATGAAAGGTACAGTTCTGTTCCCACACTCTGTTAAAACGAACACTGAACATGATTCAGGTTTAATCTAGCTTGCTTTACCTTTCATAATATTAATGTAAAACCATGCAACGGAGACATTTAATAATACTCTTAACCGTTCGTGTTAAATGAGCTTTACGTTTACGTCAATTCTTCATAGTTTGGTAGAAAGTATTTCAATAAACCATAGTTCACCACTACAGTTTTATTGTACAAAATCAAAGGATCACAAGTTTAATTTTTGATTTAGAAATCAATTATTTTGCTTTGAATAAAAAAAAACTAAATGAACATAGAGAACTAAAAAATTCCAGTTCATGAATTGAAAATATATTTTGTTCTGTCCACTTTGAAGAATCCATAAACATATTTAACCCCGCCGCATTTTTGCGCCTGTCCCAAGTCAGGATCCTCTAGCCTTTGTTAGTCTTGTATTATTTTTAATTTTAGTTTCTTGTGTACAATTTGGAGTTTAGTATGGCGTTCATTATCACTGAACTAGAATATATATTTGTTTAGGGGCCAGCTGAAGGACGCCTCCGGGTGCGGGAATTTCTCGCTGCATTGAAGACCTGTTGGTGACCTTCTGCTGTTGTCTGTTCTATGGTCGGGTTGTTGTCTCTTTGACACATTCCCCATTTCCATTCTCAATTTTATGTTCCCCACAACTCGTTCTGAACCGTCTGATTGAAAAAAGCAATTCATAGCAAACGTATTTTAGTTTGAATCTACATATTTGATGTTACAGACGAATTGAACATGCGTTTCAATAAAATTGCTGCATTGTCGCGAAATTCTATATCCATAAAAGCGTAAATTATAGGGTTTACTATATTATTGATAATGAAGATATGGTATAGGAACGTCACACCAGGTCTTTGTGAAGTGGACAGATTTTCCCAAAAATCTTCGTAGATTCCTTCAAGGCACAGAATTGTCACCTTTGGTATATAACAAAGTACAAATACTGTCGTGATGATAAAAACATAATTGTTACTTTACGGGTTATTTCGCTTCGTGTTCTTCGTTTCCCGGAAGCTGATTCCACAGTATTTGCTATAGGACTTTTAATGACCTGCTCTCTGACAGAGTCTGACTTAGTTTCTGGAATCATTGCCTGTTTTGTTGCTCTTGCTGATGTGATGGTCAACTTTATTTCATTACAACTAAAATCAGGACAATTTTCGTCTTCATCAGTCTTTTGGATTTCTTTCTTAGAACCACTGGTGTCATTTGTGTGTTCTTTTAAGTTACGAAACCCCGTTTTTAAAATTTTGCCGTAAATGATGATAAGTGTTGTTACTAAGACGAAGACGAACATACCAAATCCAATCGAATATAAAGTCATTATTAAATCATTTCCTTCCTTTAATCTTCCACACCTCATTCCCGAGATACCATACTTAGTGCTTTGGTGCTGAACGGTGCCGTATATAAAATGATAATGCTAAAGCGAACAGAAAGGATAAGATAATGGCCAGAAACAATGCAGTTCTTCTCATCGAAATCGACATGGATTGTTTTTGAAGCATACACAATTTCATGTATCTCTGAATTGCAATAGTAAATAATATGAAAACCAAGTAATAAGTAGTATTTGCAACAAAAAACACGAGTGTCTTGCATAAGATGTTGTTTGAAAATGTCGTCTGATAGAAACACTGAATTATATAATGCACTCCAAGATATATTGTCGCTATCAAAAAAAAAGCTAAAACTGGTATGAAATATCTTTCATCTGATGGCTTCTTCATCTGATGGCTTCTTCATCTGAAACGCATAAACCAACAACACAAACACGTTTCCACATGTACCAAGTGCAAGATAAACTGAAAGTATGATAATGTTCGGAATAAGAATGTTTGTTATTTCCTCGTTCCATTCTGATAAAGTTATATTGTTGAAAGTATTCTTAATATTCATATTAATACTTTTACCTTACACTCAAAACACATGATATAAAAATTAAAGTCTTATAATGTATTAGTTATTTCCTTACTTCTATGAAACTAAGGGTTTAAATTTGTAACACAATATCCGGGAAGTGTTATTTTTCTTTCTTGAAAAATGCAATATACAAAATGTCCTTATGATAAAATCTTTTTTACAAACAGGTTTGTTTTTTGTAATAAAAGAATTTTAATAAAAAGGCAAATGTCATATGAAACAGGAAAACAATCAATAACTATAGGGCATGCGCCTTTAATATATGGA